CATCACAGAATATTTTGAGAGAGTTTTTAAACATTTAATTTCACGTTTTACGAAGTACATTGTTTGGTTTCTGTCTGCATGACTCTCAGTGTGGATAACGGAATTGGTCACATCAGATTTGCTTTGACACTGATCATCCAGGGTTTTGTTTAAAAAAGCAAAAGCAAAACCTTTTCATTAGAATTAAAATAATACAGAAACATTCTGTATTTTGTTACATTTTGAAGGAGCTAAGTGTTACGTAACTGAAGGGTCCAATTCTGCATCCACTGACATCAGACACAGCTCCAAGCTTGGAGATAAATTTTGCCTGACAAACACCTGTGAGTTAAAAGGATAGTACAGTTGCAGAGCAGAATACAAACCTTTCTGGAATTAAGATGCACTAACTGTAAAAGAGTGCTTTTGTTTAAACTTAAATAATCAGAACAATCAATTAAATATCCTACTTTGAAAATTGTGGTCACAAAAAATTGTTTTTGCACATTGAAAAGCAGGGCCATTGCATAATTAGTTACCTTGCAGAAATCCTTTCTTATATATCTGGCATCCATCTGTAGTCTTATTACCACTGGTTTCTTGAACATGGAGGCCAGTAATATTGTCCAACAGAATGAGATCTGTGACACTGGATGTGTTCGTGTTATTTATCAGAAGTGTTACATACGCAGTTTGAAGATCATGTTGAGTAGTCACCTAAAACCAGAAACGCCAATAGTTTTGTTTTGGATCTACGTGGTAGTACATAGCTGCAAACTACTAGGCCTAGTTAGTTGAGAGTGTGTGTGCATGAGTGTGTTAAAGCTTTTTCTTCAAGGGCATTTTGAGTGACCTGCTGACAACATCACACTCCATTTGATTTCAAACTCCCAGGGAGATTTTAATCTCCTATACGTCAAGCTGTTGCTTGGCGACAGTGCAATAGAAGAACCTGTAGTTTGAAATCCAGGATAACAGCTCATGCAGAGAAAGGACTGAGTGAAAACAAGAATCTGAAAATCCCAGAGAGACCTCATATAGGAGAACTGGAATGCAACATTCTAATCACGTTCTGGAAAATCATAATGCTCAGCTTTGGCAGCATGAAGAGAGGCCCCTTAATGCATGTCATATGTGCTATCATTTCATTCTCTTGATGCAGCTTGAGCTCCTAATTAGCCCCCTTTTGGGGAATGCCTGGGTGCAAGGGTTATGCAGATCCTTATTCCTCCCTTCTTATGGGCTTGCTAACCCCTCTTAGGACCAATAGGTCCTGGGTTCTTGGTACTAACTGCCTCCACCTAGTGCCCAGGTGCATAAATTAATGGACAATAGCTATGACCTGTAAGATGTTATAATTTCTTAGAATAATTGACATTTTGGTTAAATTCAATTGAGTTACATTGAAATAAGGGAATGGACACATGTAATGAAATCAAGGATATCAAATGAGTAACCAACCGATACCAGCCAAGCCCTAAGAAAACTAAGCAACCAAGGCCTAAATAAACTACAGTAAAAGAAATAAAAAAGGTGTTGAAGGTTTTCCCACAGACACTACAAGGTTTAGTAGAGTTGGGACTCAATGAGAAGCACTGGTCTTCCTTGTTGGAAAGCAGACAACTCTCCCTTTGGGGTGGACTGGGTCCCAGATTATCTCAAGCGCTGTTTGTTAGCACAGGTAAGACCTTTTGGGTGCAGACAGAGTGGAGTTTTGGGGTTCAGAGTCAGTCTCAAGCCGTTGGGCTGACAGACAATATGAATCCCCCCACCCTCCTTCTGCTGAAGGGTACAACTCCAAGACTGCTTCTCCTTTGGCTACTCCTCCTTGCAACCAGCTCTCGTCCCAAACACTGTGCTTGCTGGGCACAGCCTACCTACTGGAAAGTCTTTGGGGCCTTTAGTTAGTCACTGGGATACACCAGCTAGACCCCCAGTAACTCTTCCTCCTTCCATATGTGAGCTGAGTCCTTCCATACTCCGTGGCCTGCAATCTACTCCACATTTACAACACTCAACATTGGCTCAAAGGAAGCTGTCATGGTCATGAGGGATGGCCAGCAGCCTGGGGACTAAGGGGTTAACTGTACCTAGCCAGGTAGCAGTCAGCCAATAGAAATGCAGACAGGGATTTCAACCTGAGACAAAGGACATTTTGGGTTTTTCCCTCCTTTGTCTCTGGGCCAGTTTTGCTCTCTGAGGGAGACCAAAGACATGTCTACAAGAAAAAGACTCTTCAAAATGTGTAAGTAGGGTAAAGTTTAGATAAATTCATTAGGTTTTATTGTTTTCTGTTGTGGGACTGTGGATCTGATGTCTGTGCTGTTAGAAATGGGCTTTCCTCTCTTTTGTAGTTAAGTTTTGAACTCATGGGAAAATTCCCCAGGAGTTTATTAACTGGTGGCTCTTACCATTTAGCCAATCCAACTATGCTTGTAACAGGAATATTGTTTTGATAATCAAAGTTCTTTCTTTTTATTAACTTGTATTGGTTCATTTCTGTGTCCTGAGAAATCTGTCTGTGGGATCTGCCTGCATCTGACTAGAGGATAGCAGCCACAGACTGCAGTTTATGTTTTCTCTTTATTTTTCAAGCTCTTTGGGGAAAAGAGCTTCCGGTGCCCTGGGGTTGGTTTCAAGTGTCCACCCCTGTTTGGGGGTTCAAAAGCCCTTGATGGTGGCAGCGGATTTTTATCCCCAAAAATCTAGGGTTTTTTTTAGGATTTTGAGGGGGGGGGGAGTTTTATACCAAAGCCTGGAAAGATAAGGTTTTGGGGTATTTTTGCAGGCCCCCACTTCTGCATTTATCGTGCCAGAGTGGGGTATCAGCCTTGACAGAAGCTGTCACACGCTAATTAAAACCCAAGCCTCTTTTCTCACTTATTTATACAGATTCAAACCTTCCACAAAACTCTTCCATCTCTATTGAGCAGGTCTTCGCCCAGATCCGCACAAGGACTTAGCTGTTGCAATACCTAAATAATCTGCACCTTGAAAATCACACAACTCCACAAATCTTTTGTTAAGCACCTATACTATACAATGCATGGGGAGAGACAGGTGACTGAGAATGGGATTCAGAAAAGGCAGCACTGTCTAGGCAGGAATTGCAAACAAGAGGGATGTGGATAAGAGTCATTCTCATTCTCTCGCTCAGTCTAGCCCAATGTGAATTTATTTATTTATATAAAACTTCAAATGTGAGACAATTAGCCATCCCTAGCCCCTAGGGTTACCAGGTAGCTTCAGAAAAAATACAGGACACAATTGATTGGGGAGGGGGAGAAAGGACCAGCGGGGAGGGGAGCAGGGCTGGCTGGGGAGATCGGGGGAAGGAACCGGCCGATGGGAAGCAGGGCTGGCGGGGGGGGACCGGCCGGGGGGGGGGACGGGGGGGCCCCCGC